TTTTAAATTTTAATCTCGCAATCATATTCTCTTGCGTCAAGTTAGCGGCGGATCTACATCAGAGGGACTAATAGTGACTACTTACTTGTCTGCGATATTTCTATCAATAGAAAATATATGATATTCATCATGTTATAGGTCATTACGGGAACGCAACCCAACTCAGTACTCACAATCGATCTGTTACTTATTACATATTTTTCTCATGATATTATTTAAAAAAAAAAAAACGTTTTGTCTATGACTGTCGCTAAAATATCTTCAACCCATAATAATTTAATGATTTATAATAATATCATATTTCGTTGAGGACAAAAATGAACGATACATCAGAAAGCAGTAAGCTACGGACAAAATTATAATTAATAAACATTATTCCTGCCTTAAAACCATCTGATATGCTCGTCTACACATTTAGTTTTAATTGTTTTTATGAACAAAAATCTATTTAGTGTTCAGTATTATTGTTTACATGTTATTTAATAATATATTAGTTTACGATTATAGAATTAATAATGAATATTTTTAATGTCTCCTGTGTTTTATGGCTTTAATGAGTAGTACTGGATAATAATATTTTGGAATTCTATTTTAGATAAAAATAGTAACTACAGCTATCAATGTAATGTTTTATTTTTAAGTTTTTTTCTAGCAAAATTAAAAAGTTTGCAATTTATTTTAGTTTCTATGACATAGAATTTGATTACAAAATGTATTACTTCATATAATGTCACTAATACTTGTTCAAAATACTACAAAAGTGGTTTAAAAAATTATATAAATTACAGTTTAAAATTTTTTTCTATCTTTACATTCTTCTGCAAAAAAAAAATAGTTGATAGGCACCTAATTATTTTTTATTAGTAATCTAAATTAATAATTAATGCAGTTAATTAAAATTTTTGGTTAATATGTTGAAAAATTAAGTTAGAATTGGTACTGCCTAATCAGCAGACCACCCTTAGTAAAAATAAATATTATTACTATCACAAATAATTATAAATAAGAAAAATTAATTTAATATATTGATTAGATTATGAAATGCTTCAAGCATTATATGATTACAAAGATACTTCATCAGAAAGAACACTGGATTTTAAAGTTAATGATGAATTTTTCATTTATCGAGATGTTGCTGATAAAAAGAGTTGGTGTTTAGTTATCAACGATACTGGTGATATAGGATACGTACCTTATAGTTATGTCAAAACCATTTATGTAAGTAAATTAACTATTGTTAATTATATGTTTAATTAATTATTTAAATGTTTTCAGGTAAAGGGTACTCATGTATTACAATTTTTAGACAAATGTCTATCAACAGTTCAACAAAAACTTGATGTAAATGATAATTTTTCTGATACTTATAAGTTATACGAATCATTATTGAGACGACAAAAGAAATTTAAACAGAAATCTTCTTATAATACATTGGATACACCAATTACACCAATACAATGTAAAACTGTTGATAAGGTATTACTTCGAGCATTACTGTTTTCTTTATATTTTTAAATTTAATTATTTAAATAATACTGGTTAATCCAGGTACTTACTAGGTAAGTTACATGTATAATTGTAAATGAAAGAATATATAAACTTAATCTTTTTATTATGTTTTCAGGGTAATCAATCTGAAGAATGTGAACAAATATTAAATGAAACTAAAAATAATTTAGGTGTTTCAAATAAATTAAAAGAGATAACTATTCCAGATATTTATGAAGTTGTGCAGCAAGTATGTTTTAATTTTAAATATATTTAATTTTTGGTTATTTATTTCTACATAATATAAATTAAAATAAAATAGTTCTCTAAGTCCAATGAGATTTTTAGTCTGTATTATTATCAGTATCTAATGTATCTATAACATTAATATTTATGTTATTTATTACAAATGTTAAAACTTAAAAGTTACATTACTATTAAGCATTAAAAAAATGCAAATCCAAAGACAAAGTTATGAAAATTAACATTATGTGCAATACAATAATGTTTAATGATTGTTAGTTTAAGGCGTTTAAGTAAATTGTTATATTTCAAAATCCTTTGAGAAAATTTTAGTTTTACATAAATAAATATTTATTTTCTTGTTTTAGGTAAGAAATCATACAGGATTGTCTTACAATTTTTCTCAACTAGCTGTCTCTGTTGTGATTCAACATTTGTCAAATCTAGTCGATGAATCATCTAAACCTAGTCTCAATAGTATACGTGAAATTATTGATACTTTTCCACCTACAAGTGAAACATTGCCTGTAGAATGTTTAGAAAATACCAAGGATGGAAAATGTATGCAACAGATATTGGAATACCTAACATCAGTTAAAGAAGATTCGCAACAACGTTCATGGCAACTATTTGATGATCATGTTCAAATTGAAGACTGTTTGATAGAGCTCATAAGTATCTTGGTAATAAATTATTTTTATTTATTATTAAGATAAAATATATATTATACAATATTATATCAATAGTAATTTAAAAAAAAAATAATATGTGTAGGCTGATATTTTCTATTTATTCCATTAAATAATTATTTTATGATAATTATATAATATTTATGATTTATATTGAAGATCATTATCAAATATTTTTATGTTTTATTTGAAACGTGTATTTTTGTTAACCAATTTTGAACTAGAATTAGTAAAAATTGTTAAAACTTTTTAAAATAATACAAATGATAATTTTTTTTTTTCTTTAAAAATTAGAATATTAGAGTAGTAAATTATTGATCATTAAAATGTACTTGAGTATTGAGCAGTGACATATAAAAGAGTTTAAAAAAGTTCTAAATATGGTTAGCATTTTTTTCTTATTTTTAAATAATTAGAATGATTGGAAACAATGAGATTGATAATAATTGTTGTAATTATAGTAATCACAAAATTAATAACGCAAATTTTATTTAATAATTATTTTTATTTATTTTTTTATCTCAGAAAAATGCAGATCCAATGATCATAAATCATGTTTTAAAAATCGATCAATATACATCAATTAATAATTTATTAGAATATTACCAAATGGAATTACGATGGGTGATTCAAAAACATTTGCTTGACATTTTTTCAGAACTATGTAAACTCAATTTTGTTGTGGTTGAAATTATTATTAATTCCATATTACCAATGGAATTAGCAAGGTATACTTTTATTATTTTTTTAGTAAATATTTAATGTATACTATTATACTTAAACAAACTATGCATTAGTTAATTTCTAATCATTAATTAATAATTTTATTGAATTATTTAGTTTTAATAATATGTTCCCATTAGTTTTCTTTCTCTGGCCCATACTAACAAGAGATATTTATATCCAGTTAGTAATTTAGTATTATAGAGTGAATTGACTAATTATTAAATTTAAAGTTAAGAATATTCTTTGTATTTTGATGTTGCTTTTTTTTATGATATTTCTATTAGCATGAAAATCATGAGTGTATAAAATATTATAGTTAAAAAATACTCTTAAATAGTAGAAAAATTAAAGTATTGTACTAATAATCAATGTATAAATACTGATAATGTTTTTCATTTTAAGTTTAATAAAAAATATTAAAATTATATAATTGCTTTGATTTTGCTGTATGTCAGGGGTAATTAAATGGCAGTTCACATATTTTATTCAGTTCACAGAAAAAAAAAAAAAATCATTATTTATAACTTTATAATAATATAATGCAAAAAATAAGTTCTTTGAATTTTTATAACCTATTAAAGTTTCCCAGATTTCTATTATGGCCCTACAAAAATATTAATTGATGACCCCAATGTATATATATTTACTGTATTATATGTAATAGTAAAATAATTATAAGTATCATTATTCATTACTTCTTCTTAGATCAATAGCTATAAGGACATAAACAATTTTATGTGGCAAACTAAATCTTATTTATTTTACCATATACCTCATAATACTAATATACTCATTTAACAATACTGCATTTCAATTACCACAATCATATAATTTTTTCTGGGTCATGTTTACATAATATAATTACACTATTAAAGTTAATATAGAATATTGATGATGTTTAAGCATTGTCAATGAAAATTTACTATTTAATATTTATGTATTGTTTATATTATTGTTTGTTCATATAAATATATTGTATACCTACTGATTTATGTTAAAAATTTAAAACAAATGTTTATGTTTAGAGATATGCAAAATAACAAAGATGATTTAAGCAAACAAGTCATTCTTGCTGAATTTCTAACGCTCATCTTATCAGTTGGAGAGACTTTACCGATTTCTTGTTTTGGTAAAATATTTAATTCAAAATTCATTTACAAAGCTTCTAATAAATGATATTGAATTTTCCAGAATTTATGAATGTAGACTTTGTTACCAAAATACTAAGTGATATAGAGGACAATCAACAGAAATCTTCCTATGATGAAAAAAAGATTGAATGCATGATAAATTTATTATTGTCTTATAATCTTCAATTTTCAGAAATTGAATCAAACATAACTTTAAAAGGACTGGCTCTGAGAAAAAATGCTAAAGTACTTACTGAAAATTTAATGATTTTACTTATTCTTGAAAGTAAGTATAATAATTGTCTTACAACGGCAGTTATAATATATTAACCACACATAAGTTTAATAACACAATTTATACGCAATATCAATGCAATTTTGATTATTCATTATTTTAATTTGAGTTTGATTCACTAGTATCACACAGTTGCTGGAGACGAGTAGATACTCATTGTTCTTCTGCTCTTTTCTCAATTTGTCATTTATAAGCCAAATCCAAATTAAAATAATAAGCAATGATTGCAAGATAATTATCTATCTATAATGTTATTTAATTTATGACCATAAATGCATATATATTAATACAATATATATTTTAATAGAAGATCCGGTACAAGTTTTAAAATTGAAGAAAAAGCCTAAAAATTCTGTTGAAAAAATGTTAAATGACATTCTTGCTGACTCAAAAACTGCTAAACTCTTGTATATTAATGACGTAGAGGTTTTAGTTGATTTTATTATACGTCAATTATTGAATGTTCCGTCTGAAGAAATGGTAATGAATAAAACAAATTTTTTGTTTATAGCTAAGATTATAATTGTTGGTCAATAATTAATTATTGTTTTGTTTTATTGTGTCTAGGCTCGTACTTCTTACTTAGAACTTTGTAAGAATATAATTTTTAATACAGAATATTTAAACCAAAGACATAAATTATCATATCTGAACAAATGCCTTCAAGAAATTCTTGTAGATGATAGTTCTTGTACAAAAAACCAAGATGTTTGTATTATTGAGGAAATTTATTCAAAACATCCAGAATTACTTGAATAAAATTGTCTGAATATATTATATTTGTTACTGAAATGTAATAGTTTGCTTATTCGTTATATTGAGTTTTAATCAAAATGCTGAATGTGCTTACAAAAATGTTGTAATAATTATTCCTGTACTTTATTTTTATGTGCCAAATGTTATGCTAAATATTCTCTTAAACATTTTATTAATTAAAGATTTAGATTTTTCTTCATTTACTTTATAGATATATTCTATGTTACAGTAAGTTTTAATATTTTTAAATTTTATTTAACGTTTAAAAATGTTATGATATTAAATATAAATTATTCGTTGATATGCCTATTATATATTTACATTTGTTACATTTTCCTTATACTTAATAATAATACTCAATATGTATTACTTATTATAGATTTTAGTATACCAATAAAAACATTTTTTGTGTCTAATATTACATATTTTATAACAATGTAGACTGAATAATAACAACAATATTAAATAGTATTTACAGCAATGGTTTTCATTTGTTCAGTAAGTGGTCCACGGATGAAAATGCTTGACCAGATGACAAGTCACAGCACTTCTATGATGATGCCAACTACTAGCTTGGGAAAATTTTTTTTCCATATTTTCACGTTCAGTAAAACTAGGTGAACTCGTGAGCCAGATTTTTATATATCATTTTTGTTGTTTTATACTAAATGTTTTTTTGATATACTAACTTTTTTTTTCTTATGAGAACCATCCTTTTTTTTTTTGTAAATTATTAGGTCGATAACTTATGATAATATTGATTTGGGTACCTTTTAAAATTAAAATACAATCAAGTATAATAGGGGATGTAATTTTAAAAGTATAGCTTTTATGATTAATATACCAACATTTTATGATTTATTGAAATCGCCCAAGTATAATAATTGCTAGATTGAATATTAAATTTGTTAAAGTATAGTAAAAGTATTTTTAATGAATATTATTTATATAATAACTTAGAAAATACTCGTTTAAATTTTTCTTTTGATTCATCAGTGTTTTGAAAAAAATCATCTACTTAACAATCTTATAATAAAACAGGTTTTTTGTAATTAAAAAAAAATAAATTTGTAAAGTTGTATCACCATTGGACACTCTCAAGAAATAAAAATCTAAATAATTTGAAGGAAAAATGGGAGCATGTATGAAGATTCGACACAAGTACAAAACGTTATTTATCATGGCTATGACTATAAGATTATGAATTGTATATTATAAGACATAGCATTAAATTTGGATACAAAGAAAAAATGGTCCAGTTTTTAAAATCAAATTATTAAATAGGCAATTGCCAATTAGTAGATAAACAAATCACAAGTCATAAACAATAATAAAGTTTAGTTTAAGCAGCAATAATAATAAATTGTTGAGGACCACTGATATTTTCTTATCACAGATAGTCGAATTTTGCTAAATGCTTATCACGGTTGTAAATATTCTATAGTAATCACAATATTCGGATACTGTAAACAAAAACAAAATAGAATATTAAATTCTATTTGCTAGGTACCATGTTAATATAATTTTAATTTACTTTTCTTTAAATTTTTTGTAATTTGTATTTACTTGTCTGAAAGATACGTTTATGTTGTCCAAGAATTGTATTCGTCTTCTATGAATTATGGTAAGTCAATCATCATCACAGGCCTGTTTGTGGATTAATAAAATTTTTGTTTAATTCTAGACCAATAAGCCAATAAGTGCATTATAAATCGTGGTTATTTTTTCTTCTTAATTATTTAAAACATTGCGTGCTATTTATACATTATTATATTAAAAGAATACATCGCGGTATTACACAGTGGATTAAAACAATGTATTAATAAGAGTAATTGAAAATAACCCAAAGACTGCCTGTATTTATTTTATTATTATTTATTTGGTAATCAGAAATTATTATATTTTAGTCTGTGACCTTACATACAGATGTCGGTGATATAAAAATTGAAGTATTCTGTGAAGAATGTCCAAAAACTACGGAGGTAAATGTATAGTTATGTATTTTTATATTTCTTAGTATTTAAATATATCTTTAATTAATATTATTATTTGAAATCAGAACTTTTTAGCATTATGTGCTAGCGACTATTATAATGGGTCTTTATTTCACCGTAACATCAAAGGATTCATTGTTCAAACTGGTGATCCAACACATACGGGTAAAGGGGGTTCATCAATTTGGGGTCGAAAGTTTGAAGATGAATTCAAAGAAAATTTAAAAGTAATCATATCTTAATTTTTTAGTTTCAAAAAATCAAGTAATAAAATTAATAATGTTTTATTAAAATATTAGCATAAAGAACGAGGAACTGTATCAATGGCTAATAATGGGCCCAACACTAATGGTAGCCAGTTTTTCATTACATATGCTGCTCAACCAAATCTGGATTTAAAATATACAGTTTTTGGAAGGTAATACGACATTTAATGTCAATTGTTCTCTAGACTAATATTATAATTTTTTTAGAGTAATCGATGGATTTGAAACTTTAGATGAACTAGAAAAACTACCAGTAAATTCAAAAAATTTTAAACCTTTAACTGATGTGAAAATACAATATGTTTCCATTCATGCAAATCCCTTGGCAACATAAATGTTACATTCAAAAAAATCTAATTTTTAAATGGTAATTACTAATTATCAAAACAATTATTTTTAATACAAATTGTGTATGTTAAGTTATTATAATAAACTGCATGGACTGATTAGTAAATTGTATACATATTTTGATTTTTGTAAACAGACCATAATTATTTTTAAATAATTGGTTGGAAATAAACATTTGCTACTACAATTTGTGTTAGGAAATAGTAAATTATCCTATTTTAGTTTATTATTAATAATAATTGTTGTAATTCATAATGATAAGTGATAGTGGGCATTTGTTTTTGATTTACCATCTAATATCGAGATAATAAAGATTATTAATACGTTTGATAATAATTACATACATTTTTGTTTCTCAATTTCCAAAATATAAATTATTATTCAATTAATTTTGTTTTGGTTACAAACATACCACTTATAAAAAAAATAGGTGTGCATATTAAGTATATTTTGTATTATTCGTGTACAACTAAAACTTGAGTTCACTGAGAAGTTATTAGCCTATTCTGACTACCTTCTGTGTACGTTTATGTACATAACTGAATGTACTACTATAATATTGTATGACTTATGTGTATAATAAGGATTAAGGAATCGCTAAATATATTATAAATAGAGTATAAAGCAGCTGGACTACTTTGTATACTAAATTGCCACAGAAGTAATCTACATTGTAATAAATAACAATAAAATATAAAATAATTTTTTAAACTTACTAGGTACTAAAAAGTCATGTTAGATTGGAGTTATGAATGTGTTGGATTACCAATGAGTTTTTTTTTTAATGGGTCAATATGCCATTGTCACATAATGCTTCAGTCTAACTTTAGGAGTGGTATTGCTAAAAAATTTGATTTATTCGGTACTTTACAGCTTAAGGCGGTTAAAATTCAAAAGTATTAAGTTCATGACATGAAGAAAAACTGGAAAATTTGGTCAGTCATTTTTGTTGTAATTTAATAATGATTAGTCATTCAGACTTAAAATGTGCACAAAATATTGATCTTAGTATTTTATAATTTATAATATAATTTTAAAAATATTTAGGGTCATTTAGTGCTATTTATAGACAATTTTAATTTAAGATTTTTTTTTTTAGATTTATGAACCATTAAAAAATGTTTGTTTCTTGGTAAAAATACTTGAAAAATCTAAAATATCAAAAGTATAACATACTAGTCACAATTTTTTTTGGTTTGAAAGTTCAATTTTGGAATGAAATCAAAATACCAAACCCTATGTCCCAGCCAAATGATATTTGATGAATTTTATAATTTTACATGATTGCTGATTACAAAAATTAAAATAGATACATTTTTTTATTATAATATTTATAAGTAATATATTATATTATAACGCGTGGATTTGCCTACAGTTGCGACAGTTATATCACACTAAAAATGTCAGGAAAAAATCTTTTAAAAAAAAAATTTCACAAATAGATATTAATAATAATAATAATAATAATAATAATAATAATAATATAATAGTGGGTAATAATTTTAAATAATCCTCTCGAGTTGTAGAACTATACAGCCCGTGATCTTAGTTGTACGATTTAAATGCGGCTAAAAACATGCCAAGATATTCGCACGGTTTAAATTATTATAATTATTATTGTTCGCGACGACTTGTCGAAAAGCGCATGGGCCCTTCATTATAATATTATTACTGTTGTACAACACTTGTACACGGTTTGACATCGCGTCGATCTGATAACGCCTGCAGTACAAGCATTTTTTGGTAACCATATTATAATATTATTGTGAATATTATGATTGCGATATAGTCGCAATTTGTTGTTGTTCCGAATACAGCGGGTAGCCGGTAGGTATTGATTTTTTATTTTTATCTTAATAATAATATATTCGCTCGGTCCGACGGGTATTTCTCTTGTCGGCGCGATCTGTGTTCAACAGCGTGCCTTACTGCCTTCCAAACGCTTTACAAAAAACAGTTTTACTCGGTCGGTTCGCTGCAGCGCGGGCGGTGTGCAGAGTAAGACGCGGCGTCAGTGGCGGCGTCCCTCGACCAGTTCAAAACTTTTACAAGCCACCCCCGGGGAGTGTTTACCGCGAAAAACATTTCTGCCAATCATAATAATGATAATTATTTAGAATATTACTATTATTATTATTATTATTATTATGATGATTATCGTCGTCGTGATCATTACGAGTCATGTCGGTTGCGTATCATCATCGCATCTCCGACGTTTCGCCCCGTCTGCGAATCGTGTACGCACCACCGTTTCTCTAATTAAAAACACCGTCGACCGTGTTATGCGTTTGTTTCGTTTTTATTCGTCCCCGCGGGACGGTTCCGGTCGACGTCCTGCACTCTGCCACTCCATCAGCAGACTTTAATAATTCCAGGCGCATGTAATAAAATAGGTAGGTAGCTGTAATGTGGTACAGGGTGGTTCTCTGACACTCTGTTTTGAAACGCAAACCACTTCGTCGCGATCTACATAGTAAACGGTCAAAAAGGGTTTTTAATTTTTTTTATATAGTCTTGGACTAAATATTTAGCCGCGCTAACTGACCGGGAAAAAATTTCAAATTTTTTATCGATGTGATTTTTATTTTTTTTTATTTTTACAAATATTTTTGATGCAATTAAACATTTAAAAAAAAAATATTGAAACGATGTAGACCATCCGATAACTACCCTGTATGACGTGTATATACATATTTAGTATTTTGTTTCAATTATATCTCGTGCTATCCAGTAGGTACATGGGTATAGCAGATGTATTCATCGTCGAGTCATCCTCGACTCTATTATCGACACAATTTATTATTGTTTATTATTCATTTCCCGACTAATAAACTAATGATGGTTTTTATTATAATAAAGTTTTTAGCTTGTAATTTGTAAATATGTAAATTCGAATTGGTGAAATCATTTACGCAGGCGAATTTATATATCTATAGTAATTTATAATCATTTGAAACGTCCCACATTTTTTGCCGTTTATTTATCGTGCTCGTATAATGTTTCAAGTTTTTCATTTTCTTAATAGTTTTTTAAATGTACCATTTTTAGCAGTCTCCGTAAGTCATGAGGCTTAAAGATATAAATTCTTAAGTCTTACACTGTTGATATTGCCACGAGAAGTGAGCGCTGTTATTCCGACGATTTTTTTTAATACAATTCCCGTCGAATATTGAATTATTTAACTACGTTCATCAAGTTTTTGTTATATTTTAAATTAAGGTAAGGTATTCTATTTGTACTTATATTTAATAAAAGATATTATGGTAATTTTAAAATTCTGTAAATGTTTTATTTTATCCTCAGTATTTTTATTTACCCAATCATATTTTAAATTGAATTTATTAAGTTATTTACATTTTAGGCTTAATAATAATACGTCATATAGACTTGGGAGTAAACTTTTAATTTGATTTTTATCTATCTAGTGTGATAAAAATTGAAAGAAAATTAGCATTAAATTTACATAATTTCTATTTGAATTGAGTAATACGAGTATCTCGGTCTATACGAGTGGCCAAAACAAAACTGTATTGTACTATTCAATAGATTATTCAAATCATCTTAGACAAGCCACTTTGTTGGTACTACACTGTAATCATTGGAGTCAAAAAATATCACGATAACCCAATTTACTCTATTCTAAAATGGAAAAAAATAATTAGATATCTACCAATGTTGGGTAGTATAAAATAAAAAATACTATTATAGCTATAACTATTTAGACTAATTGAATAATATTGGGAAAAGTTAAATCAACAACTATTAATTGGTGTCTATTGGTATACAATAATAATTGTGTATTAATTCAAGTATTTAGGTAGGTACCTAGGTACTCTTAAATATTGAAAAGAGTAAAGTTAGTTAAATAAGTGCTATACCATTCTTTATGGAATAACTTAATTATTATAAAAATAATATGAATATAGCCATGTATATATCTATCTATAAATTATATTAGTAATAGTGATTATCTTTTCAAATGAAATGCTTTTCAGAAGGTTTCGATTAAAAATTTCAAAAAAAATCCTATTTCAATAATAATTACATTCATTGTTGTTGTACATGAAATCATATTGGAATATGTTACATTTGAAGCACAACCAATTGGCCAATGCACATTTATTTTATCACTTATCAAAGTACAGAAACTACAAAAGTACAAAATATTGGAAACCTAACATAAGAATGAGGACCAAATGTCCTACTTTCTATTTTATACTCATAATATTAATTTTGGTACAAAACAATGAGTCTCACCTTTCTAGTAGCCATGGTAATCTTATTAATTACTGTGATGACTGACGAATGCGACACTGTTAATAACCGGGTAACACAGAGTAGTCAATAAAATTCAAGACACTGGTAGGTAAAAAACAAAAATGTAAATTCAGCACGAAAAAAACCATGGTGGAAATCGGATGAATCGCCGAGTGACGACGACAATACGAATGACAATATTTACAATTGACTATTAGACTTTTCGGTAATCGGTATAAGTCCACAATTATTCATTCACTAGAACCCCACAATTTGGCATACTTAATTCCATTAATAGATTATACAAAGTTTTGCAAAATGTTAAAATTATAATTATCTATAATTAATACCACGTCAGTGGAATAAATTGAATTCCAGCTGCATTATTCGACAACTGGCTGTATATTGAAATATATAAAAACTATGTTATAATATTACACTATGTTAGATAGGTATAAATTTCATATTATACATAGAATTTCATCTAAATAAACACATGACTAAACCTAAAACGATAATATAACTAGCAGTTGATATCAGGGGCGTATTTAGAAATATCTTATGGGGAGGGCACAAACAAAAAGTTCAAAATTCAAATTAGCATAATGGGGCATTAGAGATATGAAATATCTCATATTTTTCATCTCAATAAATATTATCATCATTCATATTATTCATAACCAAATAATCAGAGAGCGTAAAGAGGCTAATACTTTCAATAATAAAAATAAAAAGTGTAAAATACGGAGAATGGGGGGCACGGGCCCTATGGGCC